TCGTCGGTTCATCCTGTAGCGCTGGTTACTCCAGCTTATTCAATGACTCAATTTCCTGAAATGGCACACAAATCAAGAATATAAAACTCATTAATTAATTAATTAAAACGTAGGAAAATAACAATATTAAGTATCTGCCTAAATTGTAACTACTAAATGTTCACTACTGGTCACAGTGGGAATGTTTCTTTCCGATACGAAGCTGCAATTTCCTCAACTGGTCATCAAGACGGCCAGACCGGTCAAATTGTTGAATGAAGCACAAAACATTTGGGCTTCGGACCTATCTGACTGGAAATTTTAGATAACATTAGAATGAGGTCTATTTTCGCTGGATATTTGAGAAACAGACCAGATAAAGCCATTGATACAGAGAAAAGAATTCGGGTCTGACCGGTCAGGCCATTAAATCCCAGCGGGCAAAATGACGTTTATCCAACGTTTAATCAACGTTGGAAATTACCTTCCAGACGTTGGATAGATGTTGAAAATGGGTTGACTATGCAGATTGGATCGACGTTACTGTTTCGACGTTGAAAGAACGTTGAAATTAGGTTGCCAATCTCGCCAACCATAATTCAACGTTGAATCCACGTTAAAACAACGTTGAGATTGGTTCACAAAATCGACGTCGTACATTTAACCATGAATGAACGTTAATTCAACGTCTGTTGGCTGCTGTTGAACCAATGTTTGTAAAACAACGTCAGAGCAACGTAGATATTAGGTTGTCGACGTCGTAACCTTTTTTCTACCAAATTTCAACGTTGAAACAACGTCGTGTGCCCGGTGGGATGTAAAGCGCCCAAGATATAGGGCGCCAAAGCCGATATCTCAATCCTGCATGATAAGGGGGCTCATGCAGTACTTTCTGGTATAGGGTGCATTATTCTGAAGTTTAACAGTGAATTTGTCTGATTCATCATCATATCAGCCGATATGTTTCGTCTTTTCCGATGTCTATCGGTTATCTCAACCAACTACCATTCAGGCTGTGCATATAACATAGTTTGATAATTTTCGCTGATTTTCCCTAATCCGCTCAAGATCTATCAACGCTTAGCCTTAGTAGGAAAGTGCCCCTTGTTACCAATGTTTTGCGTATATAAAGATCTCTTATGTTATCTAATAAAACTGATAATTTCGTAAATGTATCACATGATAAAGCGCTCTAAAGCCGATATCTCACTCCCGGAAAAGAGACTTTATATAGGAAAAGCTGAGGCTCACTTATATTCATATTTGACACAACATGCAGTCATAAGGAAATAAAGAGCAACACAGGCAGTCAGTTTATTTTGAATCTTTCATTTTTCAGAACAATTGAAATATACCGCGTGTTGTTGATGGTGATAAAAACTTGCAAGAATGTAATTTGTGTTCTTTCAAACTACAGGTAAGTGATTTAGAAGTAACATATTTACTTATTTATTTCTGATTACAATAAATGTAAATAGGATCTATTTAGTATTTGTTAACTACATAATATCAGCTGCATGTGTCAGTATTCTGTATAACTTACTCCTCTTATCTATACATTGTTATTCATTTATATGTCATATATTGTATAGGTACTATGCTGTAGTAAGAGTAAGCTAATTTTAACCATATAGTATGTACAAATAAGGAACAATTTGTGGTTATATAGTATATATTGAACAATTTGAGAACTAGCTACCAAAATGTTATTTTATCTTTTATGCATTACTATGCTAATCAACAATTTTTCAAACGAGACTGTTATTTAAGGCAAAGTGTAAGTGTTGAAGGTTGAAAACAAAACCTTAAGCCAAGGAAAACTTTGAAATGTGCAAAAGCACCAAAACGAGGCTACTCAGTCTTGTTCCCTAAATCGAGCTGAAACTGCACATTTCTTGTAAGTGGCCGAAGCCAATTTAATTAGACTAGCAATTACTAAATATATAGCTATACATACCAATGTAATGTTGTGAATATTGCGATCCAAACTCGCTAAACACAAACGTTTACCTCACATACACGTACTGCTGATACGTTATAAATAAAATCGGCAATAAACATCTATTAAAAGGTGACAATAACTTAAATTGTAACGATTACAATTTTTCCTCGTTTTTCAATTAGTATGAGGTCTGGTTACAGTTAGGTAAATTAAGTCGGTTTTACATATAATGATTAATGAATGGGCGAAACAAAAATTATAATTATACGAGATTCAACAAAAATTCTCAAACTATGTTGTCACAGCCTGAATTGTAGTTGGTTGAGATAACCGATAAACATCGGAATGCACAGAAAAAATCGGCTGATAGACAATTTGGCCTTATCTGATTAAAATCGGCCAACCAAAATCGTATTGTGTCCGCCTGGCTTCAGTTGCGGGTGAGGTTGAAGTGAATTCATCGCATAAAACAGCCAGAATGTTGTTTGTGTGCATGATTTGCTTGGGTAATATTGTGTGGATCAGTTACTTGCCTTGAAATTTTAACTGGGACATATATTCAGCTATAGAGTGACTGTAACAACGAGTAATATAGGCTTCAAGAAATTTGTAAATTCAAAATTATAATACAACCTCGAAATATTTATTCAGCAACTCTGACAACGTATATGATCATGGTAAATCTTTAAAAACCATTCAAAACCCATTAATGGAAATTTCAATTTTTTCCTGTGATTATTACAAGTATTTGCTTTGGATTTATAACTGCTTACTAAGCATGTTTCACACTGTAAATTTGAAGGAGTTGAAACAACTCCAAAAGTGTTATTCTGGCACCGTTTTTGGTGACAGAATATATATGTTACATATGGGTAACATGCATATTTTTATGAATTTCACGTATTTAGAGCAAAAATCAAATTTATCATAAAATTACAAACATTTAATTTATATTAGTTAAAAACATGGATATAGCATATGGATATACTGAGACTCACACATAGATAACAGACTGTTATTGTATTTTAGGTGAAAATAGCGGCTTTCAATAGAATCACCTTAAATGCACGAAGTATTTTCGCGACGACTTAATCTAATTATTGGCCACATATAATAAATAGGTAGTACTCCATGCAGTGGTAAAAACAGACACACTAAACGACAACTGACTAGGGAGATGGATGCGATGCAGCTTTACGCTGTAGATTTGTTTGTTTCCTACCTTCGATTAAATCAATAACCCCACCTCTCTATTAAACCTTCCTCTTCAATAACCCCCTGAAACGTGCCTACAATAAATACGTCACAAAAATTTTCTTCTCTTGACAATGGAAACTATAGAGGAAATATAGAGGCATGCAGCCAATATTTACACACTTCATAATCCGTCCAAGGTTAAGACGTCTGAGATTTTCAATGGTTTATTTAACAATAACAGGATGAGTGCTTAAAAGAGGAAATCACACTAGCTTTACAGAACAAAGACCTTTGATACAAGTGTTTTGTTTTTGTTCTGTATATCTGGGGCCAGTTGTTCAAAGTTGGATTAGCACTAACCCTGGGTTAAAATTTAACCTGCTGTTTTAGTTTGTGTATTTCTACACGTCTGTTTATTTCAAAATTTCAGAGAAGTAAACTCCTATCAATCCAGACAAGATCTCTGAAGAGATATTTCCAAATTTATAGACAAGCTGTCAGGATGTTTGCTTTGAATTTTAGGTTAATCTAGGGTTAAGCTAACCCAGCTTTGAACAACCGCCCCCAGGAGTTGATGACTATACGTGTGATTGACATTATAAGTTCCGCTTATTCATTTCTGTTGGACTGAACAAGGCCTACTACTAAAAAGCGATACAGCCATACAGGAACCGGAACCTGGAACCGCGCATAATTTATGCAAATTAGAGCATTTTGCACCACAGGAGATATACATAATGATAATTTACAGGGGGGACGCAATTCAAAGATAGTATAAAATATTACATGCAAAGCATTTTTTTTGAGTAAACAAAACAAAGAATAAACATCGTTGTAGTACTATATTGCGAAGTAAAACATGCTTCGTAATTGTCTGTTTTGATAAGACTGCATGTGACACACTTAGTTTATTTAGCCGCCACACTTGATCATGAAATGCCAGCAGATAGAGAAGGAAACCACGGCACGCAAAGCAGATTGCGGTAAATTCAGCAGCAATTTATTGTGCGCTAAAGTAATAAGAGTGTAGTGTATGATGCAATCCAACATTGAATGTGCTATATACGCTGCGAACACGCGAATATTATTCATTATTAAATGTATTTTTGACATTGAAGTTACCTTCATAACTTCATTCATGTTTGTGATTGATGTTCAAGCGGATATTTTTAGCATGCAGTATACCAGCATATTCGCAGCGTATATAGCACTTTCAATGTTGGATTGCATTATACACTACCCTCTAATTACTTTAGCGCACAATTGCTGCTGAATTCAGCGCAATCTGCTTTGTGTGCCGTAGTGGTTTCCTAGTCTCTGTCTGCGGGCATTTCATAATCAAGTGCGGCGGCTAAATAAACTAAGTGCGTCACATGCAGTCATATCAAAACAGACAAAAAGAATCGCCGCATGTTTTACTTCGTAATATAGTGCTACAACGATGTTCATCTTTGTTTTGTTTACTGAAAAAATCAAAATAAATGCTTTGCATATAATATTTTATTCTATTTTTTAATTGCACCCCCCCCCCCCTGTAAATTATTGTCACATATATCTCCTGTGGTGCAAAATACTCTAATTTGCATAAATTATGCACAGTTCCAGGTTCCGGTTCCTGTATCGTTGTGTCGCTTTTTAGTAGTAGCCCTGAACAAGATGGCAACGTAAGGCAACCTCATTCCCAGGTTGAACGTAATGCACATTCTGGCTTGGCGGGGCAATTAGAATAACCACCAATAACGTTCATCTCTAAAGGGTTCATTTTTGAGCTTGCAATTAACTTGCTTGACGCTGACAAATACTATCTGGCGTCAGTAAGCTGTGTCCTACTTTTTCGGACCACATTATATAAAATGGTAGTCCTGCATGATAGTGATCAGCAATGGAATTTGTGAAATGCTTAAAAGGTACTTCTGAAGGTAATAGTGATCAATATAATCAGTGGCGAAGCCAGCGTCGTGTGACTGGTCATGCAAACGAGCGCCAAAGGCGTGAGACATCCTAGGAGGGGTCCGGGGGCATGCCCCCCTGGAAAATTTTTGAAATATAGACTCCCAGAAATGCTATTTGCAGCAATCTGAGCATCAAATTTCGGAAAATAGCTTGACCTAATGAAGGAAAAGATGTGGATATTTTGGCATATTTCAGACAACAATAATGAAGATTAACACAAAAATAGGAAATCTGTGGTCTGCAGTTCCACTCTAATTATAGTCATACCGGCAATTGTGTATTTCTTTTCGATGACAAATAGCTGCCAATACAGTCAGTATAATCTAGAATATAGGTATATTATAATATGCAGACTTGGTCACTTGGAAAATATAACGCATTACGCATGAGCCTTGATCAATTTCCTTAATTTAAAATCAATCGCCCAATTTATTACAATATTCAGATACGGAAAGGAATTAGGCATTATCAGATGACAGATGTTCGAGTTGAAATTTTACTGTCAGTTTACGGGGAGTATGTACCAAATGGTAAATACAATTTAACAATATATATTGAAATTTCTTTGTTTGTTTCACAAACAAGTATATATCAAATATGTTGCTAAATCACAATCGCTAAAATATTTGTGTTGCGTGTTGAAATGTATAAGCCTTGCAGCGCTATTTATAGAACTACATTGTTTACTACATTGACCTCGACATTGACATTGTATTTCATATTATACTAGCGCCTCGATGCTTTATACGCCTATGCTCGGGTTGAAAGCTTAAATATTCAAGACAAAATAACAATAACTAAATAATACTAATAGCTTATTTAGCCTAAACCATTCTTTCTTTGAATACCACGACATTTGAAAACCTTTCCCGATCGGGCATGTCGAAAGATCTGGCATTGGTCTCTGCTTGATAAACAATACATGTAATATTCTGCTGAGCAGAAAATGGTTTTTTCACTAATTCCCAAACAATATCGTTAGTTTCGAGTGAAGAAGAAGTCGACATGCTTGAATGACCTGAAGACGTGTTCATTCAGGCTGAAAGCTTCGAGCTAAGAGGCTGTGATCAGGATGTGTTGCCCGTTTAGTCATGCAAATCGAGAATTGCATGACCAAGGCGTCAAAAACAGCCGCATTGCGCGTGCGCGAACGTCGTAAGCCAATCAGAAACCAACAAACCTGATATAAAATAATATAGCTAGTCATGAAATTCTGAAAATGCATGACCAAAACACACAGCGAGCAAACCACGCAGCAATCACACGCAATTGTTTTCCACGCGCTTACGCAACCGGTCATGCATGTGAAAATATGCAGGACCGCTCAGTTGCCAAGGTAACAAAGCCAAAATCAATAACATACGAGAATATTTAGCGTAAATATCGACCTAAAGACCATTGATTCGGGTAAACAAAATAATAAATAAAATACTTAAGCGTAGAAGTGCAAAGATAAAGTATAATTCTATTGTAAACAATTATACTGAACTGATTTTTAAACATTTTTGGGGAAATTTTTAGTCATGCACTGCATGACCTGCATGACCGCTGGCTTCGCCACTGCATTTACTCCTGGAAATTTCCCTCTAACATATGTCCTCCCATGGAAATTCCATCCCATGAAATTTACCCCTCCCTCTGGAGATTCCATGTGAGAATTACTCCTCCCCTGGAAATTCCAAAGTTATTGTACCCCCTCCCCTGGAAATTCCAAGGTTAATGCACCCTCTCCCCTGGAAATTCCAAGGTTAATGCACCCCCTCCCCTGGAAATTCCAAGGTTCCTCAACAGGGGGTTGCGGATAATAATTGGAATAGCCCAATTTGTGGATTTGGTATTGAAAAATAGTTCCAACATTCACAATTTTTCACATGTAGAAACTAGTATAGGAGCAATGGTAATAAACCTTTATGTGATTTTACGACAGTTGCTATATAAAGATATGCAGACTGTGGACTGAGCAATTTATGTGAGGTTAGTGCACAAAAGTGCTATATATATAATCTATAATGATCAACATATAATAAATCCTGAGTACATTTGCTTAACAAGACAATTCTGGGATTTTACAGCTAGGCAGTTCATTATCAATTAGACATTTTCTAGCACCAAGACCTTGGAGACAGACATTTATATAATTAAGATATTATATGTCTATATAAAAAACACCTTACATATTTACCTTGTTTATTAGTTGATTCAATCCTGAATCTTTGATAACACATACTTTATATAAACAGCCTTCAATATAAATCATTCCTTCATGATCAAGGCTCGTTGAGCCTTGATATAAACAGCACTGTTTCTACAATTCGACGTTGTTTACCGAACAATGTTGCATCAACCAGATCCAATTTTTTTTAATCCGCGTCCCGTAGTAATTGTAATCATGCAGCTATAGTCAATATAGTTTTAATTTATAAAAGTGGAAAGAACAAACTTTCACCAACTGTAACAGTAGATAAATGTCAAAAAACTCAACTTTTCTTCCATGATGCCATATTTAGTTTGTTATTCATATTTCAATTCTAGTAATATAGATAATTTCTTATATGAAATAAACTCCTTCATTGTAATTGAGGAAATGTACACCTCCATTACAAGAGTGCTATAGGTGTTTCTCATAAGTTTTACTTCAGCCAATTCATTCTTTGGTGTCCATCCAATCTGCTGGCTACCTTCACCAGGGGTAAATATTCCAATTCCATTCAAAGAAATCTCCTTTATGTATATAATCTTCAATCGAAACGTTTACATGGCATTGCTCTGCATTTGGATGATATCAGCAGATGTGTTCTACTAGCTTCGCGGAATAAGGTAGCTTTGTGGTGCCAGATAATTCTAATTTCATATCTGTGTTTATAATAAGAATTTAAATTTAAATACGACCTCTCCACTTACAAGAACACAAACTGATTTTTCCAAACATTTGCAACTCCAGCTTTATAAATTAAAAACTTTTTACTGCATTAAGCAAAAAACTTACATCTGGGAACATTACTGCTGCGCTTTGATGGCAGCGGTGATAAAGGTTGATCATTTTTTTGTGCAGCTATAATCTTGAATGACGCTGTTGGTACAATGGTGTTTGTGCGTATACATTCTTACATAAACCATCTTATCATTAACTATAAATTTGTGGATACTGAATTTGGTATATGAAAACCAATATGAATTTTCACTTTATAAGAGTCACTCGTCACTTTGCTCAATTCCTTGTAGAAATCAGTAAGAAAATAACTATGGCCATTTTATGCGATTTGTCTTATTAGGTCCTGCAAATGAACATCCTGTCATTGCTTCCAAGGCATCGTTCAAGCATCCAGCTGGAATTGATGTTCTAAAAATTGAACCTGGAAAGAATGAAGTTGCTTTGGTTTGTAATAAAGGAAATGGTTGCATCCGGTATATTCAGAATGTCCAATCCATCACTGGTGATAAGTTTGTTGGTACTGTCAAGATAATAAATACCCCACATGCTTGGAAGCCAGAAAGAGTGTCAGTTCTTCAGAATTCACACACAGCTGCAATTAGTGAATCAACTAAGATTTTGTTACTCACTATTGATGCATCTCGGAACTATGGCCAGCTTGTCTAAGTTGTGGACAACTTGCAATCACCGCATGGCCTGTGTCTTTCGCCACAGTCATCAGACGCCTTTGCTGGTTGCAGATGGAAATGCAGTTCTTGAGATTAACTTCGTAGGCAAGTCAATTATAATTGCAAAGCAAGGCTTTCAAAAGGCATTTGATGTTGCTGTTTCTGGAAATGGTCTTGTTGGTGTAACTGACGTCACTACCCACAAGCTACATATTCTTAATTGTAGTCAAGTGATGAGTTTCAAACTAAGCAAATCATAGGAACTACGGGAGGTTGTTTGGATGGTCCTGTATCAAATGCTCAGTTAGCAGAGCCAACTGGTCTATGTTTTGATCTTGACACTGCCATTATTTCTTGTTTTGGAGGAACATCTTCAGGTTGTATAAAGCTTTACACAACTGTTTTGTTTGCGTGCAAATTTATGTCAACTATATGACATATCTATGATGTGATTGGTTTTCTCCCAAAAGCTGAACAAAATAAACTAATGCAGCAAAGAAAGAAAATAAGTTATCCATATGAAGAAGGACTTCAGAAGTTAGCTGACGCTCTTGCCTACCTACAGAGTATTACAAAAGAAAGAAAACAGTATCTTTGTGCATCACCTGTGGGACCGGAAGGAACTATATATCATGTATATCTCGCAGAGACTGTAAAGGCGTTGGAGACCCATAAACAGGCACTCAGTAAAGTGGAATTGCAGGAAGCTATGAAGGACATCAATCTTTGCGTGTTGGTAAATGAATTTCGCAAGGAACATGGCTTTGCAAAACATAAACAAACGGGCCAGTATAGGCACGAGGTGACACAAAGTTGAACTTATTAAGAAAACATGCAAGTGCCCCCATTCCTATAATACGAACACATTAGTGCCTACCAGCCCACGCATGCTTCTCATCTTTACAAGTAATCCAACAGTATAAGAAATGGAACATGCTATTTGGTCCTCCTACAGATACCACCAGAAGTACAATTGATGCACAGGAAGATCTCAAAACAGCAAGGATGTTGAATGTACTTACCAAATTTTGTCCTTGGCAGAATATTAGAGACTTGTATAGATATAAATGTGGATACAGACCTTGTGTCATTTTTCAAAAGGATGCATTGTTTCAGAATGAGAATGAACAGATCGAACAGCGCTACCCAGATTTCCAGGAGCAAATGAATGCGCTGCAAATACGAAGGGGTGAGACTACAACGGCAGTAGACAGAAGAATGGAGGGTAACAAGTACGCTTTTGTTCCTGGTGACATAGTGGCCATAAATCGTGGCGTTAATGAAGGACTTCCATGTGGTGATAAATGGTGGCTGCTACAAATTAATAAGCCACATGAATCCAGCAAAATGGAAGTGGCTGCCATGTATTTGGGTTCTGGCTCGATGAAGGAAGTGAAGAAGATAATTGCAGATATTTTCACCTTCTATCCACATCTGTCAAAGTATATTTTGGCAGTATTATCAAGAATTTTGGAACACCTGTAGTTATCCCTGTTGGAGAAATTGTTTCAGGATGGAGAAATGGTAGGGTCAGCTATGCATTTACGGTAGAATATTGCATGAAACTTGATAATTTATCCAATGTTCACCGCGCAGCAATTGAAAGTAACTCTGTTTTGGATGACTCAGAATCAGATTCTCAAGAGAGTGAAACATTAGAAGATCATACCGAAGAAGTTGACGATGTTGCTCATTATTTGGCAATGATAACAATCACAGACAGAAGACGAGCTGTCAGGATAAGAAATTCGGAAGGACAGACTTTGGTATCCTATAAAGATCTTGTGGGGATTAGGAATTCTACTTGGCAAAGGAGACGTAATGGACAATTACTGAAACAAGTTGATGAGCTTGTTTCAGCTCAAAGAAATGATGTTGAATTCGAATAAAACCATGTTAACAATTGTATGTATATTTTACGTCCTAAGGTGGCCAGCTAGTCGTCTAAGTAATAACACTCAGATTTTGAACAAACTGAACTATTAGTTAAAGATAAACTGGTACTGTATTAGTGTCATGGTATCATAAGTATTTGTGTTGATGTTCAAACAAGTCGAACACATTTATCAGTTATTTAGTTAGTTATTGATATCGTGAAATAAAATGAGTTGTGGCTCAATAGTAAATATTGCCAAGCTACATTCCTAAGGTTTTATTTAAAGGCAGAGTATACCCAAATTCACGCATGCGCATTGCGTTCACAATCTTGAAAAAACTTATGTCGTAAATCAAGTTTTAAAAAACAAAATGGCGTCGTTTATGGCATGGTGTAAATTTTAATATTGGTTATATATAATGATGGTTTATTCAATCCTGGCATTCCTGGGTGAAATCAACGCAATTAAATGTAATTTTTTACCGGATGTTCCAAATTATTGCAACTGACACTTGATTTGCATGAAGTGTAATCTGATACCTTGTTCAAACAATGACTCAAAGACACAAGATATCAATATATTCGACACATGATATCAATATATTCGACACACGATGCGACACTGCGGCTGAGAATTGTGCTCCTTGTCGACATTTGTATGATTTCTGAGGAAATTTCTTTATGGAAAGTGCCGATGATGATCATTTTCATCCTCCTGATGAACCTGGGCCATCTTTTCGATCGGCAGAAAGTGCTAGGTGTCCTAGGTTGCACGGTGGAAAAAGATGCGGTGCTTGAAGGAAACGCCAACACAAGGAAGGCTACAAAAAGGCGCGGAGTACGATGTGGAAGACAATTGCCTTACACAAGGATGTCTATGACGAATGGATGGCTTTGCGAAAAACCCACAACTTCAAAGAAAACTCTAATTTCGCTGAATTTCTTTTGCAGTGCACGAGAAATACAAATATGGTAGCTACATCGACAAATGCGCAGTCTGAAATTTCATCGATCGTAGATACAACAAACCAGCTTGGAAATACCAGTGAAAGGTATTTGATTTGGTTTAATTTTAGTCGTTGTGCCATTTTAGCGGAAATATGTATTCGAGCTATAACTATAAAGTGTTGTGAATACTATGAAGTTTGAATAAATATTTTGTGATCCTTTTGTTTCAGGATCAATACCCCATTGTCCTGTATAGTGGGTCCTCCTGGATCATCATCTACTCCTCGCAATACCAGAGCCAAAACCCGCCTCTTTGGTATGTATTTTGTTTCTTAAATTTTAACCTATTAAGCTGCAGAGCTTACCCATTGACAAGTAAAATCATCCTAGGCAAGTAAGAGAAATAGGTAGGGCACCCTGTGGTGCATTGCAGCTCATTGGGTTAACTAGAGACATTGTCAGATTTTTTGGCTAACCCTTTAAGCTACAAAGCTTCCCCATTGACATGTAAAATCATCTGGTGTTTTGCACTTGTCAATTGTACCCCCCCCCCCCCACCTTGGGGAAGGGTGGGGACAATGGGACATGAGGTGTGTTTTCCCTCCTTTGACTCTCAGTTATGCCCGACTAGGTGGGAGATTTTCCTATTATGTATCCCCAACCTTGCTATTGTAGGGCATTATGTGGGAATGCATACAGCCGACTTGCAGGCTAAGAATCTTTTGTTTGCATATAAAAGTTTTATATTCTGTATGTTTCACTTTATAGTGATAAAATAGTTTATTACCATACATGTTCAGTAGTGAATTGTAGTAGAGATGTAGTAGCCATGTACATCACTGACCCACTTTTATTTTGAAAATAAAAATCTTTGTCCAGTAAAACATGCCCCTATTGGTTGGGAGATTAGACAAGATTAGTCAGGTCAGCCTGCCTCAGGAAGTGGGGCAGTAGTTAAGTATGGATATATTAAAAATCTATGTCCCCACATTTTCCCACTTGAGATTGTGGGGTGGGGGTTACAATTGACAAGTGCATTAGACAATTGAAAAAAAATAACCCATTACATGGCAATGTGCCTGGGTGTGCCCTACAGTCCTTTGTATTTTTCTCTGTCCAACACCAGACAATGTTACATAATTTGTGTTAAGTTAAAATGAACATGAATTGCTTATAATATACAGCATATAATGTACATTTTATGTTTTAGATCTAACTGAATCGTCAACAATCGTTGAACATCATGTAAACATACCAACAAATGAGAAAGTTTTTATTGACTCTGTCATTAGAAACACATCAATTGCTATGCAGTCTCATCCAGTAGACAGTGATGATGACAGTGAGAAAGAAGATTCTCTACATGACGATGACAGTGCAGATGAGAGTGGCGATGATGTTCATTGCGAGTCAGATGCTGATGTCAGTTCCCATGATGGCGACAGTGACAGGGATCCTTCATTTTATCTATTCCCAGATTTTGATCGGCTTGACATTAGTTGCAGTAAAGATTCTATTGATCATGAACTGGGTGCTGTTGACACAACACAGATTGGTCCAATTGATATGGAAATTAGTAGTACAATTGATGATTTAGGTTCCATTGAATGTAATGTACCTGTGCTCCAACCTGAGTTAGTGGAGGGAAACAGTCCTACAATCAGACTTCTTCCTGCTGGTTATGAGAATGAAAAAGCTATGAATCTGAAAGAGGAACTTTCTTTAGTAAATGAAACAAAGTTCATTTGTAGCATGTCAAGCATTCGGGAATTGTTCTCATATATGGCACAAAAGTAACAAGTTGGACAAAAAGTTACTGAAGGTTTGTTTGCATATATATTTTTTCATTCTCTAGTCTATGGTAATCATGCAACAATAGTATGCATTGTGTTTGACTGTTAGTACAAAACGTTATTTTGAAATAATCAACAACCACTTAAAGCATAAATAGAAAAATAGTTAATCTGCTTTTCTGTTGGCTACTATTGTTGTTGGAAAGTGGTTGTTGATACGTTCAACAACAGATTTGTGTTTCAGTCATACAGTAGATCCTGAATGTTTTAAAAATTTTATCTAAAGAGAAAATTGATATATTTTCAAGGCTTGTAAGAAATGAAAAAATGAAGTGTTAAAGGCGTGGATTGCACCAATAAGGAACCACTTTTGGCATTGTGTCAAAAACTGTGGTGGTAATCTTATGAAACTAAAGGTGAGAATAAACTATACATACTTATAAAGTTATAGAATATCTACTTCTTGGTTATAACAGTATGTTATACCGTAAATGACAAACTGTATCATAAGGCATGGCTATCAGTTGTACTCAAATCCTAAATTATTTTTATATTCTTTTTAACAAGACTGAGTGGATCAATGTCCTAAAGCATGTGACAAATGTCCACACATGGTACAATGGTCAATGCTCATATGCCCCCTAGAGGATGTTGGTGAAAGACAATGGATTAACAAGGATTCAGCTGCGATGCAAGCCCTCCGTGATATTGTCCTTGACAAGAAATTTCTAAAGACACTGCCATTCTACACTCGTTTTAGGTGAGAAAAATAATTTCTCTAACACCAATGACAGCTGCTGTGCTCAATTTACATAAACCACCCCTCTTATACCCTTCTTAATCTTCTGCTATGCACCATGCAGTGAGAGAACAGGGTGAGAGCTACAGTCGAAAATTCAGCGGTTTTCCCATTTACCTTGAGGTAGCAATTTCCCAATTTGGGTCACCCAAAAAATTGTTATAGAAATTCAATGTTTTTAATACGCCGTTAGAAACATGTTTATAACTACTGTACATGAGCTCAAAATTATTCCCAAAATGCGGGAAATGCCACTTCAAAGACACAAAAATTTTAAAAATCGAGAAGGGGCAACCTGATGCCCCCAGACCCACAAAGAAATGCCCAGCTTCAGGCTAAAATAAATTTCCCAATTTCAGGTAAACACAGATTTTTTTACTTCTGGCTAACACACTGGTGAAAAATTTTCCATCCTGCCTTCCTCTCAGCTAGCGTAAAATACACACTGTAACATTTGCCTTGTGGTATGTGCTGTACCCTGATTTGTTGCAAGTTTGTATCCATTCATTATATTTTTGCAGGCACACTGGAAAATTAGAGGCATATCATAGCCACAGATTGATGTATGCTCCCAAACGATTTGGATTCAAGCGAGTATTAAAAGTTATTTGAATTACACTATACAATACACAGAAATTATACTGTAAGAACAGGGCTGCCAATATGGGCCCCAGGACAAAACTTCCCATGGGGGGCCCTATGAGGGGTCATAATTGTAAAACAGGAGGAGCGTTTTTCTTATTACACTTTATTGCATATTATCCCGGCCTAACACAGCTAGGATTTATATTCTTGTTAAGCAATCTTGTATCCATAAATTTTAAGGGCCTTCATGGATTTGGGGGCTACTTTTGAGCTGGGGACCCAGTGCAAAGTGCCTCCCCCCCCCATCTCAGCGGCCCTGGATAAGAGTAGAAATCATTGATTGAAATTCGACTTTCATTAACTAGATTTCAATTAGTCAACTGTATTTCATATGTTGATAGATATGAGTGTTTGTTTGCTCGCAGTCTTCTCGCTGCTATTGACCATAATCACCACCTCCATTGAAAGCAAGCCAGAAATGCCAAAGGGGAATTGGTCTTCTCTAGACGTTGAAGCAAGCGAGCTAAAAGATGGAAGGTGGTGATTGTGAAAGAAAAGAAAACTTACAGCTATCTTCCTGTTATGTGTGCTAATCTGCTTAAAGAAGCCAGCAAGGAGTTCATGAAGAAGATAAAGTCTGTGAGTTCTGAGCAAAATCCGAAAAAGGTTGCTCCAACAATTGCAAGTCTCCCTGCTCCATCAACGTCAGAGCTTGTAAAAGAACATGTCTCAAGATTTTAGGCTATCATGCAACAATGATTTAATATATAACAGTGCAATTTTTTGACTTTGCATTAATAAATTGGCAGTACTCTACCACTCACAGGTAAATTTGTCTGGTGTTAGGAAGACTACAATAGATAAGTAGAGCACATTGAGGCACAACACATTGTGGATATCATGGTAACAGATGTACTGTAAAACCAGAACAATTTCCTTGTCAGTGGTATAGGGTACTGCCAGTTAATGGTTAATAAATTATTTATGGAAATTGATGCTAGTGTGTATACATGTCCTGTTGTTCAGTGTTCAGCAAAAGAAAGGAATACAGTATGAAAACTAGAGGGCACTCGGAGACTGCATACCTCCGCCCGTTACTCGGAAGTGAAACGCAACCTTGGAATTTCCTAAGAAATCCACTTTTCAATTCTTAAGCATAAAAGATTTTAGGCCCCCGCGAATTGAAATCGAATTGCTAATAGATCGTATTACTGTTGTTGTACTGTACACTACTTGTAAAATAAAAACTTATTAAGTGTCATTAAATAAATGCATAAATTTTGCTTTATGCACTCGCGCGTTCTGTAATTTTCACAGTTGTGCTATTTTAAATTCCCAGGCAGCTAAAATCTTTTGTCTTTAAAACAATGTCGATTTCTTGGGAAATTCCGAGGTTGCGTTCTTTTTATACACCCTGTATTGAAGTAATCTAATGTTGTTAGAATTTGAATGGACTGGCACTTTACTGAACGTAATAATGTGTAACTCCGTAAGCCTTGTTTTAGACATGGAATTTCGGTGGCGAGAAATGCAACTAAGACTAGACAATAAATAATGAAGGCCGAAGCTTAATGAGGTTTATCATCTCATTATTGTCTTAGTACTGCGTGCATAAATTATACACGTCCTAATTACACATTCAGTAATATTTTTTTTAATTGACCAGGAAAAGCAAGACAAAATTTTTATCATTTCTCGTTCAATTTTTAACCAAATTCAACCAAATTTTAATCAGTTCTTCCTTAGCCGATGGGAAATGCATTCAAAAAATTTCATATGAATATGTTTGGTATTTCTTGAGTTATCGTGCTCACAGACAAACACACACACACATACACACACACACACATACAAACCCAGATGATTACATAACCTCCTGGCGGAGGTAAATATATATTGTCTTTATCTCTCCTTGAATCCAGTGTACCGACCATCGGGTGATGGGTAATGTTTTCTTATTTTCCATACACAGCATGAGGGAATGACTTTCCGATTACCCTTACCCAAATGACCATGTATCCACATAAATATTGTCTGTAGGCTGCATGCCTCATTATTGCCCGATTGTCGTATGTTGGAGTAAATACATATGTATCTGCTAGACTCCTTATGACAGTTGCCAAATTGTCGGAATCTAGGCAAATGTTTTGGAATGCCAATGTTGTACTGCGACACAGTTGTCTTTCTTTACAGCATACCCTCTCTTTGTCTGTTGGCATCTCGCGGCAATACCCACAAACACAGAATGGTACCTCTCAGATGTCTTGCTTGATTGTTGGGGATCCTCTGGACCTGCTGTAACTTTGGCAATCAAGTCTTTTAACACAAGTGGACGAGACATAAAACAGGGCCTTTGCCACTTTTATCAGGGTCTCTCTGTCCAACCCATCAATCATTTCCTATAACAAATGACAGAGCAAATAATTATAAAAACTTAAACGTCAGGGCTGTCAAAATAACCAGAAGGTGTCACAAAGTTTTAGCACAGTTAATAGTAAAATAGTAATAGTGGTTTTAGTAAGCTTTCGATTCTTTTTTTATATCCCCACAGCCACCTACTTTATCAAAACAGACACCTACTCTTAATAATTCTGAAAGCCCTTAAAGGGCAATATAAACTCCAACAAAGAAAAGAAACACATGGAAATTCTATATTGCACCCACATTTTAATGGTTACATAGCCCATGGCTTGTCTCAGACTCAGTTTATTCATCTTCCTCAAAAAGTATTAATTAAAATATTTGTAACGCGATAATTGCAAATATCATGCAAATTACCTCGACTGACACTTGACTCTGTTCATTTGTTTCGCTTTGTGATGCTACTGTGTCTCTGTCTGTTTGACTCCGAAGTCGTGCCTACAGCAAGAAGAAAATATTGTTTTCTCTATATAAAATATAGTAATGAAAGGTACAGCTGCACAAGCACCTTACGGTCCTTACCTTATTCTGACATGGTTTACTATTGGTACCACAAGAGCAGTTTTCTCCACACAAAACTCTGTTACCTTTACAAAGACACCCAGTTATTTTTCCACTTGCAGCGGTTTTCAGTTTGCGCATACACTGTGATTTACATGAGCAATTCACTGCAGGTGGGGCGATCGTCTGTAAAATATACAAATTATATTTTATATCAGTTGTTGTCTATTTTGGACAATTAGTTTCAAATATTTATACGAATAAGCAGTCCTTTACCTTGCTAGATTCATCTGACTCTTCAAGCGATGAATCCATTGCCATCTCGCTTTCTTCACTTTGGAAAAGTGATGATCCATAATAGTTTAATACAGACGCATCCTCTTCGCTTTCCGCCATATTGAACTATAGTATTTACATATTTACGTGAAATATGAGCAGTCTGTGTCATGGTCATCAATCAACAGCGGTGTTCAAGGTCACGTGGGGTGGTGTATTCTGCCTTTAATACCCCTAAAAACTAGTACTTTTCATGCGAACTACCAAAGCACTAGTCCAAACAATTCACCTGGTTAAAAATTCTTGAAAATGTTACAACTCTTAAACATGTTGAATAAACCTATTGTTGCGCATGTTTAAGACAAAAAAATTTTACCCCTGGGAACATTTGTAATGCACTGCTGTTTTCCACAACACAGAATTTTTCGCGACAAGCGGAATTTTTTATCAATTAGTTTTCATCCGTTTAGCCTGACAGCTCAAGCTGACAAGGAAAAGTTACGTTAATTATAAGGTAAGGAGCAAAGGATCTCGTAATAACATGGCATGTTCCCTCCTCCACAGGCCCTCGTTGCATCATGGGAAGGTCACAATTTTGAGAGGGCCTGCGGAATCTTGTAAGGTGAATAAATTAGAATAAGTACTAGTGGGAAACTTGTGCATATAATAGTGGGAAACTTGTGCATATAATTTAATATTGCAGACGTAACGCTGGCGCTATTTTTACAAATTTCCACAGGCTAGATTGTGCGTGACCACATTTCCTCGCTAGATTGTGTGACCTTCCCATGGTGCAGCAAGAGCAGCCTTGGTACGATCAATGCTGATGCTTGCTGATGTCTAACATGAAGTATTGCGATATGCATTGTCACACTGCTTGCTCAAATTTAATAATCACCGCTAATAAAAGTCTATTACATGTATTAACCCATTGAGCTGCATTGCACCCTGATTTAGTATTTACCCTGTCTAAGCCAGACTATTTTACTTGTCAAGGGGAGAGCGCTGGTGCTTAATGGGTTAACTGGCCTATCTGCCCATGTGCCTAGTTAACCCATTGAGTTGCATTGCACCCTGATGCACCCTACTGTAGTATTTTACCCTGTCTAACGCCAGACAATTTTACTCGTCAAGGGGAGAGCGCTGATGCTTAATGGGTTAAAGATGTCTCATGTGTTCAATATTGTCCTCTGTTATAAAAATGTCATGCAAAGAGATATCATGTTTGAACCATCTGTAATGTAAGGTATACAGGGTGTATCAAAATAAACGCAATTCATCTTTTGTGCTAAATAACTTTCGAAATACTATTTCTAGTTAAATGCTTTTACGCTTACTTCAAAGCCTGTTCTTTTCTCTTTCAAACAAACTATTATCCTTGTCTCCAATGCTAGTAATAATTGCACAGGAAAAGGTTTAGTAAAACCTATCATTTTTAGTTGTTGTTTAATTATGCAAGTTTACTATGTTATTGTTTAGTCGGTTTAAATGTTAGAATTTTCTTCTTTAAACTTTAATGTTGTCGTCACTACATCTGGAAAACCACGTAAGAACAAATTAAAAGTATTTTAAAAGAGACCAAGTTGTTTGAAAATCCTGAACGAATGCTAAAAATCATCAAAACATTCTGGTGTCTGAGCCAGAGTGTCATCGAATTGCGATGTAATGTAAACAGAAATTATAGCAAATTGATGTCAGTCAGCCAATATTATATCGCATTTGAAGTTTCAAACTGAGTTAAAAATAGTGGAAGAAAAGCCGTAATTATACTTATTGTTACAATCCATTTAATAAAATGCAACATTTGTTTGTTTTAATGAAAAAAATTTATTTTACAGTTACCTTCATGAGAACGTACAGTTATTTTCATGAGAATGATTTGTTATTCCATCTCAATTTTTTTAATCTCCAATCGCAATAACGTAAAGTATTATTAGCCGCGAACCAATGAGTCAAATTTAAGAAACAACCCACTGTTAGAAAGCTGAATGGCTACGCTTTAAAATGAATGTAAACTTTAACGTTTTCGTCTATTATTTGTTTAGCAATTTACATTTCAGTCGAGGATTGCGCTTTTTTTGATACACCCTGTATACACGTATTAAAGTAAATTTTCTTTGTTAATTATATTGAAGGGGTTGGTCAAGTTTGTACTGTATGTAAACAAATGATTCGTTTACATTTTGAAGATGCTATATAAATTTATGCATGCTAATTAATTAATTTTCATGCAATGTGTCCGCTATTTGGCAAAAATTTAATCATATAATTAGATGTGAAACTAGTCCTATCTAACATTCATAACATGGTGGTACTGTATGTCAAAGTGAAACCAATGCAATTCTAGCAAAACTAGTGAAAATTATGGGGTATGTAATTAAAATATCTAAAACAATGTATCCTATAAAGAAAGTTTTAAATGATCAAAGAACGTATACACAAACAATAAAATAGCTAGTTTACTAAAGTGGGTTTGGGCAACTTTTATCACTTTAAAAGCCACATTTTTCACTGTCTAATATGCAAAGGAACCTTGCAGGGTAAACTACTTTGAAACAAAGTTGGTGCCACTCACCCACTATGCCCTCTCTCAGTTCAGACCCCCTGTAAAGTGCCAAGATGCTTATTTCTTTGTATGTAATATTTGTCAATATTAGGCGATCTTGAGCGATCTTAGGCAATTTTAGGTGATCTTGGACCCTAGAGTAGGCCTCTTACCAATGGTGCCATGTTGAACATTTTTCGCACATGATCATGTTTTTGTATGTTGATTCTTGGCATGTATGGCATTTCCCATCTTCTCTTAACTTTGTTACTGTAAAAAATGAGATAGAGGTTTAATTGATTTAAATTGTATTTTCATGCATACATGGATTTCTTCTTAATTTTTGTTTGTGAAGTGTTCACTGTATATATTTACTGTATTTGCCAGCTAAATTGGAGTTTAATGTGCACCTACAAGAATCTTGAATTTTATTCCAAGCAACTGAAGTGAATAACAACTGTACTAAGAAAGATTACAGCCCAATGCATCTGGTGGGGGATGTTCATTTTTGATGGTCATTGATTCCAACTTAATTAGTAACTGTTGTTCCCTTAATTCTTTAATAGCTTCTTCTGTGATTGAAAACCACTCTTGAATTTTTGCTATTTCTGTAAGATAGGAAGTTCTCAATCATGTAAATTTTGCATCAAATAAAGCATACCCATTTAATTGCAGGCCAGTGTGGGTAGTTGTGATCTTACCGAAACTGAAATAAATTTATTCAGATAAGATGTGTTTCTGTACATGGTTAATGTGCTTTCATTTCTTTTTTGTGAAGAAAAAACATAGCCTATGGCTCGATCATCTTGTTTCCTGGAATATTCTCTACAGGCAGGGCACACATATTACTTGCCAGTACTTTAACCTCTTCCATTCCTTCCTATCAGCAACAAATGTTTTGAATTTGAATTTAATGAATTCGCCAATGAATATTTACATTTTCAATGACAGGTGGAGGACACAGAACCATTAGTCCCAATTGAAATCCTACACCGAAAGCATGCATTACTAGTTTTACTACCTATAATAAATTACTACCTTTACTATCTTAGTTACAAATATAACAAATAGATCAGTAACAATCATACTGGTAATATATGATACAACGTGGATGGATCATTACTCCATAAGTATAAAAATACAAAATCTTGATGACATGCAATGCCCATACATTATAGTATATAATTTTACCTGTATAAATCCCGCCATTTTAGCTTAATGGTAACTAGTTTCACTGACTACATACTGTTTATTTCAAACCATACAAATGTTTCACTTATTCATGATTTAAATTAATTTCCCGCTGTTTCCCACCATCATTTTATCAATTCAAGCATTTGGGGCAGCGGTTCTCAACATTAATTTATAATGACATAATTTATTATAAGATTTATTGACGAACAAGTGGTCGCTGCAATTCCTGTAAGTAATGAAAAAGGAATGAAAAGAAAACAGAATTTCACTGCAGCCGAATCTGTCTGTTAATTTAGTTGAAAAAAATATGGACACATTGGTTGGCCAATTTAGTAGCAAAATAACAAATGCTAAAAAGCGAAAGTTGTGGGAAACTATGGCTTCCCAGATTAACAGCTTGTGGCATGAAAAATGCACACCAAAAGAAATTCGCAAAAATAGCAAAACATGGCCCAAATTGCTACAAAACTAATTCTGGGATACTGCAGTATCAAAGAAAAACTGGTGAAGATCCTGCAGCAAAACCACTAACCACTACCATGGTGAAAATTATCAGTCTTTTGAGTGATGAGCCTTCTTTTTCAGGAATACAAGGAGGTTTTGTGTCTGGTGTGCCTTCTGATTCAGGTAAATTTATAGTAACTTTCATCTGTGTACTTTCCAATGAAATAAAATAATTCAGTTTGTCAATAGCCTATTCAAACATTGAAATTAAACTTGGTAGATTACCACATTGAACAAATTAGAGTGAGTATCATGCAAAGAGGTCCTTTCCGCACTTGGTATCCCACAAAATGGTGTAGCCATTGTTTGTATGGGTTTCAATTTGCCTGTGCTTTCTCCTCTATACTTTTTTGACAATATCATTGCATTCTATTTTTGTTTGGTTTACCAGCCCTTGAGGTTAAAAAATCCCAACACTATTCAACAGGAAGTTGATGAATTAAAATAGATGAATCTGATTAGTTATACAGTCTATTTCACATAACGTTTCCCTTAATGTTGCGAACTTTGTTCCCAACTTCCTAGTGAAGTTCAAAGATTCATATTCAAATTCACAAGCTGGATTGTAAACAAAGCCTTTGATTGGACCTTGAACTAAAAAAAGCCATTCAAATGCATTGTTTACCAGTTTGTGAATAAAATTATTAACTTTTGAACTTTGCAACAAACTTTGGAACAGACTTTGCAACATTTGGGGAAAAGTAATATGAAATCAAGTAGTATAAGTTTAATACTTTTACAGTTGATTCCATAACTTTTCCATAAATGTTGCAAACTTTGTTCCAAAGTTGGTTGCAAAATTCACAAACTGTTTGTAAACAATGCATTTGAATAAAGGATCAGTTGCATGATACTCACTTTTTAAGTTTCACCTTGAAATTACTGTTAATAGTTAAAGATATGGAACAGTGTGTTGCCCCTGTTTCTGGTCAATGGAAATTCGATTTCATTGTTTTTTTCGCCAAGATAAAAAGCAACGCCAAATGAAATATACCTATAAAATGGCAAACCTTTTCTTTTTTGGATGATAGTTTTCACAGGCTTTTTAGTTAAACTTGTATTCCAAGAAGAATCCCTTTTGTCCAGATATGGTTTTATTCTTTTACTGAAATTTGTTCATTTCACTGTGCAGTAAAACCAATTAATAATAATAAATGGTATTATTGATATTTTAATTCTCCCTTAACTGCCTAATTTTTATCTTAACGATAGATTATTGCAGAAAATATATAATATGTAATGAGGAGTTTAAGCATTCAATTATTCCGAGATAAATTCTGGTCCCACAAATTACATAAAGTTAGGCTTTGTAACCCAGTTTCCAGTCAGCTAAGTTTCAACTTTTGAAAGTGGAGGCACTGCGTAGAATGCCAATCACACCAAATCAAATAAATAAACTCTGTGGAAACTGCGTAGAGAAGGTTGCCAACCACAAGAGAAGGTTGCCAATAACTTAATACATGTTGCAACAATAAAAAATGATCGAAAATTGTCTTAAAACAAACGTACAATAAACAAAAGAAACTTCAAGGGGGAGCTTCACCTAGAAATTTGGTGATACTGGAAAAAAATATCAAAATTTTAAAAACATAATAGTATACCTTAACATGTACTTTATCAACTACTGATGTTTTTTTAAATTTTTATGCGTTTTACCATTAAAAAATAGACTTTTGGTAGAGAACCTGAAAATCTGTCGATTGTTTGCAGCTGGTTATCATGGAAACGGAATTCAAAAAACCTCTGAAAAGGCCGTTTTTCTGGGCCATTTTGATGTAAAAATATTGAATAGGGCTACTATGCTAAATGTGTGTATTAGGGATACGAGGGGGGCATAGGTACATGCTTATTGCATAATTTTGCTTATTTACATTCTGATTTGCATACTGTGGTCAACATTCGAAACAGGTTTGAGAATATATTCTGCTGAATCGCTATTTTGTCGCTATATTTTGTTGTATTTTTTGCTTGTAATAATGCCAAAAGGTTCTAAAGAAGGCACAAAGTTGCGTGTGAGAAACAAATCAACGAAGAAAAACCTTTTCAAAGGGAAACGTTTCGCTGATTTGCGCAAAGATGGCGAAAATATTGGCTCTCAATCTGCCAGCCAACAAAATGCAATTACTCAAGATCGAGTGATAAATAACGAAGATTTGGTTACTGTAAAGTCAACATCGGCAAGAAAACTGGAGAATGCTAGTTCTGAACTACCCCAAACTCCCGAATTTACAAGACAGAATTCACAAGAGGAAAAAGACGGATACTGGATTGTTTATATTGAGAACATACGGAAAGCTGTTGAAACGATGCACAAATGTAAGAATGGGACAATCATAACTTGTGAAGATGCTTCAAAACGTGCTGGATTGAGCAGCAGCTACTATTTTGAATGCACCAAATGTAGACAGAAAGTGGACATGGATACTTCGAAGCCAGTCGAGGGAAAAGCTCGTTCTTTTGATGTAAATCGGAGAACAAATTTTGCCATGGGTGAGTTGGGCTTAGGCAGAGAGGCTCTTGCAACCATTTGCAAAATTTTAAATATGCCACCCCCAGTAAGTGATAGTGCTTATCAAAAACATAATCGCTCGGTGAACTTAGCAACACGAAAAGTTTTGGAAGAAAGGTTGAACGATGCCGGCCATCGAGTACGCACATTCCTGCAGAAGGATGATGCAGAAATTCTTGATGTTGCCGTGTCATTTGATGGTACATGGAGCAAAAGGGGCTTCACGGCCAACTATGGAGTTGGAATTGTCATTTCTGCTGATACTGGGGAGGTCTTGGACTATGTTGTTTTATCAAAGGTCTGTGAACTTTGCAAAGCTGCAGAGAAACACAAAAGCAATCCCGAGAAATACCAAGAGTGGAAAGATGCTCATGCGGCCAGTGGACTGTGCCAAAAGAATTATAATGGTTCTAGTCCTGCTATGGAAAAAGAAGCAGCCAGAATTTTGTGGAGTAGATATCTGTCGAGAAGCGCAAGTTCCGGTATATTGATATGGTATGTGATGGTGATAGCAAGGCACATGGAGAAGTGTGGGATATATATGGGGTTTGTGATGATTGTGAGAAATATGAAAATATGGACAAACAGTCAGCAGAGTACCAAAAGTGGTTGAAATCGAAAGCACATGCTAATTGGGAGAGAGAACATAGCACAAGCAATGACAATTGCCATCGGGTTAGCAAGCTTGATTGTGTCGGACATGTGCAGAAGCGTATGGGGAAAAACCTGATAGCTCTGTCTGGAAAGTCAAAGCTCGCAGATGGTAAACCGGTGGGAGGAAGAGCAGGAAGACTCACCAGGCCTATGATTGACAAACTGCAGAAATATTATGGCAATGCCATTAGACGGTGCGTGGACAAAAAAGCGAAAAGTAAACAAGAAGTGGAGGATGCAGTAAAGAGAATGCAATGTGCGATAAAAGGAGTATTGTACCACAGCGTGAAGATTGTGGATGAAAAGAAGAGGCATCAGTACTGTCCTCATGGAGAAAGTCCCTGGTGTTCATTCAAGAGAGACAAAGCAGTAGGAACCAATACTCCTTTTCTCGACAAGTCATACCATCTGGATCCAGTCTTTTTAGAATTTTTAATACCGTTATTCGACCGACTTAGTGAGAACAAGCTGCTGAAAAGGTGCTTACTAGGGCTCTCACAGAATGCTAATGAGTCTGTCAACTCACTTGTGTGGAACAGATGCCCTAAACATAGGAACAGAGGGATAAAATCTGTTGAGACAGCAGCTGCCTCTGCAATCATGCAATTCAACATTGGTGCGGCTGGTCGACATGGCGTCATGAAAGAGTTGGAGATCTCTGGTGGTTACTATACAAAAGCTGGAAATGGGAAAAAGAATAAGAAGAGAGTGAAGCAAGCAAATGCAAGAGCCCAAAGGGAATTTAAAGAAGCAAGGCAGAAGATCCGACAGGCGAAATTGGTTGAAGAGGCCAGATTGAAGGCATTAGAAGGAGTAACATATCAAAGCGCGGCATTTAACGAAGATAATTTCAATGGTTCAAGCAAGAGAAAGAGGAAGACAGATAAAACTACTCCTAAGGAAGGCAAGAGCAAGCAGACAAGGAAAGAATAACACTTTAAAACAGTAAAAAAACACTAGAATCACAAGTTTCAAGTCTACTTGGACTTTAACTGCCTTTTTCTCAAATTGCGATATTCGGCCGCTCATCAACTGCCCCCCAAGGCTATCTTCTTACTCTTTTAACGAAAATGTACCATTTTTGGCACACATGTAGCCAAGGTATGTAGAATGCTCCTATTACCCATTTTTTTAATATATATTTTCTAACAGGATTTACAGTGAAAATTCTATGTGCAATCTGTTTTATACGTTACCATAGCAACCATGGTGAATGACAAAAAAATGGGTAATAGGAGCATAGTTCAATATCCTAGCTACCATCATGTGCAATTTCACTTGAATACACAACATATTGAAAGAGATTTTATGGGGGGGCAAAGTGGCCATTAGAATTTAGTTTTCTATATACTACTCTCTTCTGTGGTGTCAAATTTCAATCTGATTACGAACACTGAAAAAAATTTTTGTTCCATTTTGTAGCTTAATATCTGTAGTTTCTAAAAATATATAGTTTATGCATATTTTGTCTTAAAACATGCCTGAAAACGATTGTTAAAATTGGCCTAAGTTAAAGTAAATTTCGAGGTGAAGCTCCCCCTAATTGTAATGACTGCATGGTTGGGCCGTAAGCTTCTCATCTAACACGACGGAAGAGAACGAGATGTTAAGACAACAAAACTCTGTATGTGATGTGACTGAAGTTTTAATGAGACTACCATCCATGATTTGACGGTTTTGTCTCGAAAAAAGGAGGGATGTTGTGTAACGCCGTGAAAAGCAGCAAAAATATGAAATGGAGATCAGCAAAATATAATGAGATTAAATATGACAAACTAGTTTAAGTTACTGGCAATCAGAAGAGCAATTCTAAATATACTGTAAACACATTTATATTCTAAACTTGAAGGAAATAGGATTCATTTATGGACTAAATCGGCTGAAAGCATTTCATCTAACGTGACTGAGGAGATGAGATGTCGAGGCAACAAAACTCGAAATGACTCAAGTTTTAATCACAATACCTTTGTTTAGAAGACCGGATAATTTTTTCACTTTTTGTTCTTGTTAAATTAACATAATTTGGAATAATTTAGTTTTTGGACGAGCAAAGTACTGGGTTTGAATAAAGAACTGAAGAATAAAGGACAATTGAATATTTGGGTTGCAAGCATTTTATCTAACATGACAGAAGAGAACGAGATGTAGAGGAAACAAAACATTATATGACTCAAGTTCTCATGGAAATACCTCAACTTTCAATATTTAACCGTTTTGTCTTAATTTAAACCAATCAAGTGAATATGTGCCAAACTGCGAACGTTTGCTTGAATATAGGTACAAGTTTGAAATAAGCACTGAAGAATTAAGAACAAGTAAACATTTGGGCTGGAAGCGTTTTATCTAACGTGACAGAAGAGATCGAGATGTTGAGGTAACGAAACTCAAAACATTAAAATAAATTAATGCAGTGACCAATATTTATGTTTTCTTACTAATATATTTTGTCTTACATGTAGTGTACTGGACGTTGACATTTCAGCAAAGGTCTATGAAAGATTAGTAATTTTTATAATCAAATATTTTACTTGAGCCAATTACAATTACATACTTCCTTTCAGTGACTTTGTTCAGGTCAACATGCGCGCGCAAATGCCTATACGTTGGTCGGGCTTGGCGACTGAACGCGGCACGGGGAAGAGTCTCCCTGAAGGGTCTCTGATCGAGTGTTCTATAAGTATATCATACCTACTGTCAGTGACGCATGGGACAACTACGTTTCACTGATTTATCTTTGGGGCTAAATAATAAATCGTGCCTTGCCCAGACATAGACGAATTTACAATTTGCTATCCTGCCTTTAATTGAGAGAAATTTGACACCAACTTTTATTATCCTCTTTTAATGCTTTTATATATTGTATAGTGTGTCGAATATTTTCATATAGTGTGTAATTGACTCTTTTTAATTCCAATACAGTAGATAGTGAATGTGAGCAACCTAAGCGAATCGTCGAGCTGAAAAAAGATCTAATGCGAAACACACACGTCGTAAGATTTTTACAAGCTTAACTTTACTACCCATCTTAAAGACCTGTTTTGAAAAACGAGATTTTTAATGCTTCTATATACTGTATAGTGTGTCGAATATTTTCATATAGTGTGTAATTGACTCTTTTTAATTCCAATACAGTAGATAGTGAATGTGAGCAACCTAAGCGAATCGTCGAGCTGAAAAAAGATCTAATGCGAAACACACACGTCGTAAGATTTTTACAAGCTTAACTTTACTACCCATCTTAAAGACCTGTTTTGAAAAACGAGATTTTTAATGCTTCTATATACTGTATAGTGTGTCGAATATTTTCATATAGTGTGTAATTGACTCTTTTTAATTCCAATACAGTAGATAGTGAATGTGAGCAACCTAAGCGAATCGTCGAGCTGAAAAAAGATCTAATGCGAAACACACACGTCGTAAGATTTTTACAAGCTTAACTTTACTACCCATCTTAAAGACCTGTTTTGAAAAACGAGATTTTTAATGCTTCTATATACTGTATAGTGTGTCGAATATTTTCATATAGTGTGTAATTGACTCTTTTTAATTCCAATACAGTAGATAGTGAATGTGAGCAACCTAAGCGAATCGTCGAGCTGAAAAAAGACCTAATGCGAAACACAAACGTCGTAAGATCTTTACAAGCTTACCTTTACTACCCATCTTGAAGACCTGTTTTGAAAAATGAGACTTTGTCTGATACGCAAATAATAGTGACGTACTCTATTTTTATAAATATTGCAATATTACATGTGATGTGTGAGGGCTGTATGTTAAATAGCTGTTATGTTTAACACGTTTCTCCGGTGAAATAACGTTTTACAACTACAGAATGAGTTCAGATTAAGTTTGACTTGGATGTCATCGAAGTGTCAGATAGATACGCTTTCCGAATATCTGGAAAGATTAAAGAAGAAACTTTTCCAACATAAAAACCTAACATGTGTTAGGAGAATCACAAATTTATCAGTTTTTACTGTTATGTGTTTTACCCTCAGTAAATAAACTTGTTATGTTATGTTATATCTTTTATGTTATATATTACAATTTATGTTATGCATGTTATAAGGTGATCGTACGGGATCCTATGCACAAGATCAATTCTGAATATGTTTACATGAATAATATTTACATGGTTGAGTAACCGTGTAAAAAGATGTTGTAATAATAATAATAATAGTAATAAAGATATAATGATGATGATAATAATGATAATAATGATAATAATAATGATAATAATAATAAAAGAAGGGAGGGTGATATGTTGGCATGTGGTCCAGCAAAGACATATTTTTGGACAAGCAATGCCTGCTTGTTCATTACTCTACAAGACCATCAACACACCACCGGAAGAAGTTAAGTATATATTTGAATTTTAGCCTACCTAGACCTTCATGATTATTTTAGCTATTGAATCGTTCAAGAGAAAACCCGCCAATCTACAATGATATCAATCAATAACCACCACGGAGCAGTGTCAAACTGTCCAATAATTTCATGATAATGTGAACTACTTATTATTCAGTCATTGCAAAAACCCACGCCCAATTCTTCGGTCGGGCAATTAATGCGGCGAAAGAAAAGTTAGAAGCACACGGGTTTCACTTTCAGTGCGAAGTGCACACAGCTTTGGGATTCCACCAGTGCCCCAGTTTACCGGTGCACGCGTGATTTTAATAACAGCATTTCGAAACGGTAAAGGGAATTATGAAGCTGGCTCAGAATGCCTTGTACAAGGTCAAACATTATTAACATACATTTCTAGTGTATTTGAGTCTGTATAAAAAGTTGTAAAATGTCAGATTTTGTGTTTTTAATTAATCGCATGCCATAGGTAATTTTTTGTCAGAAATAATTCGTAGTTAAAAGTTGAATAAAATTTGCAAAACGAAACCTGCGTGTGTGTCGAACGGCCCGTACGTGTAGTTCTATTCGTTGAAGGCAGACAAGGGAATCTACGATCCAGATTTTTCTACGTAAGCTACAAGTCAGTTAAAATATTTGCGTGATATGCTGTGGCATATCTGTAAATGGTTGGAAAATTATGTACAGTCAATGCTTCGTGCTGCGGCATTCTACGATGTGGAAAGTGAACTTGTATTTCATTTATTTTATACACATTCAGCATCTTTAGATAAATTTGACCTCAGACTACAACCCCAGTATGAAATTGACCTCAAACCACAATACCACGTGTGCTATGGAATACCTATACTCTTACAAAGCGGCAACAAAGATAGTTGGTTCCCACTGTTGTCAATCTTCTGAGTACGCACAGTCATGTGTTTGGATTCCAACAATGGTTAGCACAAAAACTGTTCTAAGTTAAAACTCCAAAGCATAAGACAATAACTCTGAAGAGCAAAGACAGTGAACTTTACTGAACTTTAGAAACAAATATTTTCATTAGAATATAAACATTTGTAATAGTTTACCTCGTGCGAGTAAAAGAATATACAAACGTATTTCACATTCTCAACAATAACACAAACCGGATGACCTTTGCAAAGATTCTGTGCCAGCAATTTATGCTCTCTTTCGGTTTGTGTGTAAATTCTACTGTGCTTCGTATATACATTCAGTATTAAACAAAGGAAATGAAAGTGCTACTGCATGGAAGAGCAGGGAAACACGGTTTTAAAGACCATGCTCAGATAAATATTTAATTCACATACCCTTTGTATTTCTTTATTGTGTTCCAGGTGACCCTATGTCTCTGTTCATCATTCAATGCAGTGCTTCACTGGGCCTGTGCATCTTTGGCCACGCGATGACGCACAAAATGTACGTAATAAGTCGTCTTGGGTAAAAAGCGGAGAGTCCTAAGAGAACGGCACTGCGTATCGACAGAAGAGAGTGACACAACGAGAGACACCGAAGATACTGGGCCAGGCGAAGGGAGATCTCTGAGAACGGGTGGATAGAAGAGCTCG